CTCTCTCTCTCTCTCTCTATCTATATATATATATATATATATATATATATATATATATATATATATATATATATATATATATATATATATATATATATATCACTCATTCATTCTTGCCCTCAGTAGCCCTGGAAAAAAACTAGCCAGCTTGTGCGTTTTTGACAATTAAGCTAGTGCGAACGTGCAGATGCGTATGAGTGTGACTGTATGCAATACGTGTATGCTTTTGTGAGAAAGATAGAGATAGATAGAAAGAGAGATAGAGGGAGAAATAGAGGGAAACAGACAGAGAGACAGAGACAGAGACAGAGAGACAGAGAGAGAGGAGGGGAGGGAGCAACCGTTCACTTATCACTGTTATGTCATAGGCTTTTCTTTTAAACATACCACTCTCAAAGGACAGCACGAAGAACTGGCCGCTATTTCATCATCGCTTCTGTCTACGCTTACTAGATCTACTGGGCTGTTATCATTTAATCCTGCTGGAGAGGGTTGGAGGGGCAAACAGGTACCCTGTTTCTCTGACCGCTAACTTTACCAGCAGTCACGTGACGCATGTTGTAGAAATTACATCACAATCTGAGCTCAGACCAAGAGGAGATTAATTGTCGTACAAAGATAGAGAAAAACATTCTTGGGTGTTGAATGTGACCTTCTTTGTCTCTGTTTGTCTGTCTGTCTGTTTGTCTGTCTGTCTGTCTGTCTGTCTGTCTGTCTATCTGTCTGTCTGTCTGTCTGTCTGTCTGTCTGTCTGTCTGTCTGTCTGTCTCTCTCTCTCTCTCTCTCTCTCTCTCTCTCTCTCTCTCTCTCTCTCTCTGTGTTTCTCTCTGTCGCTCTGTCTCTCTGTCTCTCTGTCTCTCGCTGTACGTACGTGTGTGTGGGTGTATCTCTCACTTTGTAATTATCAGGAACAGGAGTACGTTGAAGAGTTTCTTTGATTCGTTCGAAATCTCTCTGAATATCAGCTGCAGTAGACGAAGAAGTCGTCACACTGGGACTGGTAGTAGTGGGATCGCTATTCGACCTGTCGTGGTCTGATGTGACATTCGCTAGATCCGCGTTCACATCTTCTTAAGCAGGAGATTTACTTTCTTGTTTCTCAAGGTTATCAATGCGTTCATTGATTTTATCAAATTGTAATTGAAAAGTAGATAACTGATGGAGTATCTTAGAAATGTCTTCCTTCTCAGCCATTGGCAACAAGGGTAGAATAGATCTATACCAGACTCTGTAAAAATTTACTGGATCTAGATCTACATGTTTATTTCATACTTGGTCTTGTGGGTATCACACAGCAAACCAGGGCCAGGCCGGCTGGTAAGCTTAGAAAAGATCTAGATCTAGGTAGTCAAGTATTTTGAAAATTCAAAACGTCATAGATCTACTTATCACTCTAATGTTAAATCAACACTGGTGTATAAACTGTCCGTTTGGAATGATAAATCTAGGTTTCGTTCAAGTTTTACCGATGGAACAAATCAAATTGTATGAAGTAAATATCTGAGATTCATAATGGCGGCCGCTTTGTGAAGGTGCACAATAGCAAAGACGACGAGGAACGTTATTAATAAATAACGTTCCGCGAAAAATATAGTGCACATCGGGTAACAAAAAGTATGTATGTATGTATGTATGTATGTATGTATGTATGTATGTATGTATGTATGTATGTATGTATGTGTGTGTGTGTGTGTGTGTGTGTGTATTGAAGAAAAATCTGTGCGCTAAACGTACAAAGTAAGTTCTCGATGTTGAGACCGTCGTACCTCTTTTGTGGTGATTTTCTCAAATTCTACTATTGGACCTCTTGCAGCTTCAGTAGTCTAAGGGAAAAAGGTGTGTGTTTTGCGCCCCCATCAACACAATTTGGATCATAGAGGAAGCGGCCTTAGACCATACCTGTCAGGGCCGATTCAGACACTCGATATAAAAATGTTGCCGGACCTTAGAATTCAATGTCCATCTCAGACATTTAATAAGCCAACAAAAATTTTAAAAATCGAGAGAATAACACAGAGAAGGATAGAGAGAAGGAGAAAGAGAAAAGAGATTCAGAGAGAAAGAAGGAGAAAAATGAAAGAGATAACGAAGGGTGTACGAGAGAGCATACGATAATCAGATTATATCGTCAGCCTGTTGTTAGAAATGGCACTGAGCCCAAAATCTTTAATTTTTAAATTATTTTTTGTTTGCAGTTTCCTAGTCTATGGTAAATGTTACTTGTTCTCAAGAAATATTTTGTCCAAATTCGTTTTCTAAAATAGTTTTAAAAAGCTAGGATCATTTAGAAGGCGGGGGCTCGATTCTGCCTGTCAAAGCCAACCCGAGCTGAGAGAGATACACAAGACCACAATAGAAAGACCGAGATACTCGACAATCTTAATATTCACCCCAAACTGGACCGCTGAGAGTTACATCCATCTCCGATAGGACTGAGCCACGTCAGAGGAAAGCCCGGTCACAAACTCCTATTCAATCTGAGTTCAAGCACACCCTGTTTGGGATTCGAACCAGAGTCATGTGCAATACGAACTAAGTTATCGACAGGAGGAAGAATCATTGTTGTTCAACAAGTTTAAGATTTTCAACCTAAAAATAACCCCAAAAGGTTGCGAAAATTTCTAGAGCATAATCTTAGAAAAACGAAAGAAAACCCTGATCCTAAGCGTCAAGAAGAGAGCTGGTCAAATCAAAAGTGGTGAAAGACTATCATTTTTTTTAAAAGAGAGAGAAACAATACGAAACAGAAACTCGATGTTGATTATTATGACTGGGATCTCGGAAAAAGGGGTGTTTGTTAGTTTTTGTTTAGTTTGTTTGTTTTGTTTGTTCTCGTTTTTTCGGGGGGGGGAGGCACTTGGTACACATTTGGGTACGGTATCTAAAAAGGCGTTGTAGGTTGTAGATAGTAGGCCTAGATAGTGTTAGAAAGTGAGTCAGTGGTCACTGAGGTGTATTCCTGAGCAAGACACGTTTTGATGGGCGGTCAGTGGAGTGTGTCTTTAAGCAAGAAACGTTTACATGATGTAGGTGTGTGATATCTGAAGTGTGTCTTTCAGAATGACACATTTAGACGGGCGGTCAGTGGGGAGTGTCTTTGAGGAAAAAATCAATTTAAGTGTGCGATGATTGAAATAACTATGCCTTTGAGCAAGACACGTTTAGGCATGTGATGACGATGCCTTTTTCAGCAAGTCACATTTAGGTCTGCGACCATTGAAGTGTGTCTTTGACGTTAGCCATGTAGTCGTTGAAGTTTATCTTTCAGCAAGACGCGTTTCAGTGTGTGGTAACAAGACACGTAAAGGCACCTGACGCATTCAGTTGGGGGGTCATTGAAATGTGTCTTTAGCCAAGACACTTTCGGGTCTGTAATCATTGAAGTCTGTCTTTGAACAAGACATATTTAAATATGTCATCATTGGCTTGTGTCTTTTAGCAAGACGCATTTGCGTATGTAATCATTAGTTTGTGTCTTTTAGCAAGACGCATTTGGATATGTGATCATTAGTTTGTGTCTTTTAGCAAGACACATTTAGATGGCCGGTCAGTAGGGATGTGTCTTTAACTTTGAGCAGGACATGTTTGGTATACCCGTTTTCGTCCCATACCTTCGTTTCACTAACCGTTTTCGTCCCACTTTCTTCCGCCGCGATTTTACCAGTTTTTGTCCCACATTTGCAATGCAAGGTATCCAATTACCCTTCGATACCTACCATCGACTGCTTCTCTCTCTCTCTCTCTCTCTCTCTCTCTCTCTCTCTCTCTCTCTCTCTCTCTCTCTCTCTCTCTCTCTGATGAGCAGGTATGGTGACATTCTGAGACGTACATTTACATATATCTGCCATTTGCAGGAAATGTCATCCTATCATCTCATGAATCAGTTGTAGACTGAAAATGTGCAAAGTTTATTAACATGTTTTATTGTAAGGATTTTTTAAAGTCGAAACTGTTTAATCAGAGACATTTATTTATTCTGCAAATTTTAAAAATAAATCTTCATCCACCACGAAATCCTACTTTCACCAATTTTCTTCGTGCACCGTAAAACCATTTGGAACGGAGTACGTGGTAATTGCAGTACCCTATAAGTAATCGAAATAATGTGGGACAAAAACGAGTAGGACGAAATTCAAACATGAAAATTGTAGGACGAAAACGGATTCTCCCGACACATTTACGTGTTTAATCATTGACGCGTGTCTTTGAACAAGATACATTCAAGAGCGCGGTCAGTAAGGCGTATCTTTGAAGATGTTCGGCCCAGTTTAAAAAAACAGGGCGCTGAGCACTCACTTTCATCAGTGGCGTTTGTGATTGCGAGAAAAAAAATTGGTGTATTTTGTGAAGTTGATGAATTATTACATTATATTTAGCATTGTATCCAAATTTAGATAAATATAATCGCATGGTATTCTTTTATTATTTTTTTAAAGGTTTCTTTTGTCTGAGAAGGAATATTCGAGGATGGTCAACTACACTCCAGTCGAATTCGAACAACAAACTTCCGCTTGCTAATCAAGTTCTTGCCGGCTGACTGAGCCACAACATCGGTGTACGCGGAAATATTATTGCTACGTCATTCACAAAAACAGTTCCGGGCCAGTTTCCCCAGGAAACATCTTCCCTCCCCCTTATACACACGCACGCACCTCCCTCTTTCCTCGCCTTCTCAAAAACAGAGAGATTGATAGAGAGTCAAAGAGTTGATTGAGAGAGTCAGAGAGAGAGAGAGAGGGGGGGGAGAGAGAGAGACAGAGACAGAGACAGAGAGACCAAAATCCTGGGTTGATGAACGTTCAGCAGCTGTGTTCAGCAGTGATGCCACACGGCGCGCACAACGAATAGAGGAAAAACAAAAGCAGGAAACTTGTGAAGGGGAGAGGAAGGCAACGCATTGCCTGCTGAGAGCTGCGTAACCCAACGAACCCTGGGAGTGAGAGGGGGAGGGGGAAAGAGAGAGAGAGAGAGAGAGAGAGAGAGAGAGAGAGAGAGAGAGAGAGAGAAACGCCGAACGAGGTCAACAATAAATAGAGGAAAGCCGCTCGACCTTTCGCAGAACGTGGTAAAACCGTGGAGAAAGGGAGGAGGTCCCGCGAACACATAGATCTACTGTGGCCAACACCCCCCTGTCAGTATCTTGAAATCTTCCTTCTCGCCGGTGCCGACCGCACTGACACAGGACTGGTGGCCCACTGTTGTGTAACTTATAATAGATCTCTCCAGTCTGTTGTGTAACTTATGATAGATCTCTCCAGTCTGTTGTAAACTTTTCCGAACTGTGACGGGAAATATTTCATTGTTTTACAAAACCTACTAATAAGGTAAGAGTCTTTTACTTAGCCTTTTTTTTTTTCTTTTTTTTTTTTGCATGTTATGGAACCAAATCACCACAGACGGTTCAAAGGTGGGGAGTGGGGGAGGGGGGAATGTGATGTAACGACTAGCTTGCATTTAGGCTAAAACAACCGACGAACGTAATTATCTCCAAGGTTCTGTTATTATTTATAACATATTTCAATAACGTGCGTGTTTTTCCTTCTGTGAGTGAGCAGCTGGTTTGCTCACATGGGACTTCTCAACACAACAACAGCTCTTTCTTTTTTTATTCTTTGATTTCCCTCCTCGTGTGTGGTGAGTCAAAACATCAAATGCATGAGCAGTCGCCTTGGTTACAGAGTCATAATTTTCCTCGTGGCGCAGCAACAAGATAACCTACAAATATGCACAGGCATCACGTGTACTATATGTACTAACAATCTGTGAGCTTAATTGTTGAAAGGTTCTTTTTCGAGAAAACACCTCTTTTCTGAAGCCGGTTGAATTTTAGCTTTTTGTACACATCAACGTTTCCTTAGTTTTTCCTTAGTTCTAGATCTAGTTGAATTCTTCTGTGTAGAAGTTCTAAAATAGGAACCTGTTCTCTGCAGTGCAAAACAATTATAATCAAAACTTAGAATTCTTTGTGGTGGTTGGGGACAAGCATGGGTGGGAGGGGGGATAGGGGAATGAATAGGTATATCAAGCGAAAAAATTTCTCAATTTCAAAAGGAAAGAAGTGAATGAACATTGTTTAGGTCGTTCATTGTAATGGGTGTGTCCCGGAGTTTTAATGAGTGGTTAGATCTACGGTTCTGAATTTATAGAGTTAAAATGTGTTTTTAATAAAGGCCGTTAACATTGCTTTTACAACTGAAAAACATGAAGAGAAAAAAATGGGCGTAGAAGAAACGATGCTTGCTAAATTCATATATACATGCATAGCACAGCGACATTCATAAATTCAAGGCCACAAATGTAAAATTAACAACAGGGCCTCCATGAGTGTAAACACGAGAGCTCGACTAAATGATTTTCTTCTTCTTTTCATTTTTTGACTGATTTTCATTCATTAATAGATTTTCATTCATCCTTCGTCCGTTTCTTGTCTTGTAGTTTTCTTCGCCTTCCTTTTCTTGTTCTTCGTCACTCAAAGGTTTGTCACGGGTTAATTATTCAAATGCTATGCAAAACAAACACACTGCAGGTCTGAGCAGACAAAAGCTTACCAAACACAGTTCCGTGTGCTTCAAGCTTCTCGAAATCCTCTTCGAGAAAATTAATAGGTTTTTGTAAGACTGCAATTGACGACTACATGTAGCGTAGCCAACTAAAAAGCCCTTTTTTCGTTGATGTCCTATTTGCGATTTGTGACTTGCCGTTCTGGATAGCTCTATTTTTGATACACACGAACTCATGTGTAATGCCGGAGAGTCTACAGTAACATAATACCCTGAGAACTTGCGCCGGTGGTGTAGATTCTAGCTGTAATTATGTAATCGAAGTTCTACGCCCAGTTCGACGCCGTGAAGTTCATTAAGGACTCGGGCATTTCCGACCCCGTCTGTCAGGGCCAACCAACCCCGGTTAAGAGGGATGCAACGTCCCAGCAGAAAAATAAAAATTCCCCTCCCCCAAATAAAAAGAAAACCCTGAATTTCTCACTCGAGAATCAACCCCACGTCCCTTGCGTGCGGCAGCGAAGCGCCTAAACACTACGCCACGGACGCCGTTGTCGTGGTTTTGATTCCGGAATGAAGAAGTTAGTTTTCCTGTTTGTGTTACTAGTTAGTTTGTACTTTGTTTGTTTGTTTGTTTGTTTGTTTGTTTGCTTATGACTTTTTTTTTTTGTTTAGTTTATTTTTCGAGTTGTTTGATTTTTTTGGGGGGGTGGATTTGTTTGTTCGCTTTTCCGTTTGGTTTTTTCTTGTTCCTTTTTTAATCGAGTATCACCTTCTGTCTGCTGTGATGCTGCATGCCACTCTCTCTTTTTCACTGGCTCTGTCGCCCCATCCCTTTCTCTCCCTCTCTCCCTCTCTCTCTCTCTCTCTCTCTCTCACACACACACACACACACACATACACACGCACACACACACACACACGCGCACGCACGCACACACACACACACACACACACACACACACACACACACACACACACACACACACACACACACACAAGCACACATGTAATAGCAAGCAATTCGTTATAACAATCCTGACTGGGAGGTTTCCGACAGGGGGACGGAGAATTGCGCAGGTTTCACGCTGTTATGCAACAGATTACTCTATAAGCCGCCTTCCTATTAATGGTCATTGCGACATCGTAGTAGAAAGACAGATTATATAATATACTCGATATAAGTCCTCCCCTTCCGGAAATCGAACTCACACCTTCATGCTTGTTGAGGCGAAGCGTTAAACTGCTACATTACAGACGCTGCGGTGGCTTCACAGTAAACAAGATTTATATATTCCTTCAACGCTCACACAAATGGGAAAAAGGGAACTTTTAAAAAGAGAATGGGGAAAGACCAGGATGAGTTTCATATTTCACTTGGCACATCTCCAGTACAATTTGTCAAAATGTGGACTTGAAGTGTGGTGGTGCGGCACGACTCGAAAACGAAGTAAATTCTATTAAGCTCACCACCCCCCTACCCCCCACCCGAAAAAATGAATAAATAAATGAATCATCATCATCATCATCCGGTGCCTTGCCGACTGGCGTGGGCGATCATGGACTTCCACTTCACTCTGTCTTGGGTTGCAGCAATGGTGTCTGTTGTTCTTGCTGCTCCTAGCCATGTTGTCATCTTGTCCAGTATCTTTTCTCTCTGTCTGCCTCTGCCGCTCTTTCCATCAAACTTGCCTATTGTTACAATATTCTCCAATGCGTCTTTCCGCATTGTGTGTACGAAGAAAATTGCTAGTCGCTTTTTAATATGCGTCATAAGCTGTTTTCTGTGAATTGCTTCAACCAAGACTTCTTCAATTGTTTTTGTAGCATCCAATGGATATATGTAGCATGCGTCTTATGAACCACAGCTCTGTCGCCACAATTGTTCTTTCCAAAGTAAATGAATAAGTAAATTAATTAATTAATTAATTAACAAGTAAATAAATAAGTAAGTAAGTAGTAAATAAATATACAAATAAATAAACAAATAAATAAATGAATAAATAAATAATGTTAGCACATTTCATAACTTTTCTGCGGTGTTCTTTTGGTTCTTTCTTTTTTAAAAATGGGCCGAGCTCTATTGCGTATTATACATTGATTGTATCGTATTTTTATACAAGACAATATCACCTACAGTGTAGGTTTATTTGAGAGTATCGGGTCAGACATGTCGGTGCTGTAGTGAGAAGTTGGCGGGTGCTTTGATGTTGTTTGCACCTTCTTTCCTATCGAACAACTTTCATCTTTATCTCTCCTTCTTCTTTGCATCTTACTCTCTAGAAGCACATCATTGTCTAATCTTCGACACTTACAATTTGACCTATTCACTATGTTGCAAGTGCCGTAAAACTCGCACTAAAACATTAATAAAAAAATATGTGCTGAACCATGAACAAAGTTGTCTGTTTTAGATCTGGCTCTAGATGTGAGTCAACGGTAGCTTTTTTTAACGCGTCCATGTTCTGTTCACGAGGAAACTTCGTGAGCGCTTTTCTTTTCTTCCTGGACTAGAGTTGTTTCTATGGCAACAAGTCCTCTTTTAGTGCTGCATGAGCCTACTGTATCACTGCATTGTAAAAAATGATTCCACACATTATTTGTTCAGCGAAAGTAAAAGACATGTCCGTACACTCAAATTCCTGAAAATCGTGATCTTCCTTTGAAAGTTTCCGTACCCCTGTTGTTAGTTTTTTTTAGCTTTTTTGTAATTAATTTGAAATTGAAACTTCTTTTTGGTTAGCAAAAACGTTATGCAGCTCTGTTACGTTTTGTTTTCAAAGTTTTAATGATATTTTAAAGTTAGATTTTATTTCTATTCTCACAGGAGGAGGGTAGAGGGGGGTGGGGGGGGCTTTGGGTTCAATGGCTGGCATACATTCTTTTTAATAGCTGGTGCTTTAATGGCCCCATCGACACAATTAAGTTCATTTAGGGTTCGGGCTTCGACCTAACGTGCCAGGGCCAACCCGGGCTGAGTAAAACAACATCCCAGTAAAAGATCCCGAGGCACTCACTCAAAAACAATTCTCCACAACGTCACTGTGATTCGTTGACCTAAACCACAATATCACAAACAATGGTGGTCGCATAAGTCGTACAATCACGTAAATTGAATTGCAGACTACATCAGTAATACATAAAGTACATAATAATACATTTGTACATAATGTCATAACGGCGGCTGTGGTATAGCGGTTAGGCCCTTTGTTGTTTTGGTAAGTCTTTTACGCCGTGTGCACCTGCATAAGGTTGTATGAGCGCGCTGGACTCTTTCAACATTTTCAGTTTAGTAGGAATTTTGAATTTTTACCGAATGGTGGCCAAAGCCTACCCTTATCGCTTTTTGGACCATCAAGGGATCTTAAACGTGCGCAACTTGCACACGAGACCTCAGAGATTTTCGCCCTTATCCGAAAGGGCTAGGTTTTATATTTTATTTACTATAAGATCAGGGGTGTGGCTGAAATACAACTGTAAGAATCAGCCAAGGAGTAGTGAGGCTCTTTGTCGTCACGCAAAGAAGACGAGTTCATTCCCGTCGTGTGGGGAGGAATATTATCCAGTATCTCCGTCTTTCGGCTGGGATGTTGCGTCCCTCTCTGCCAAGGTTGGCCTAGACAGACAAGATACCGTCATAGCCCACCTGCAAAAATGATCTAAATTGTGTCGAAAGCATCGTAAAAAAGCAAACATTAATTTTTTTTATGATGGTGGACATTATTGCCGTTATCGTTATCACAATCTCCATCTTCATTCGTTATAAATAAGCAAAAATTTTTTTTTAATCGGAACTGGCAATTTACAGAGGAGAATATTAACTT